ATTGTAACAAAGGAAAAAAAATGATTTACCACAACACAGAGCTAAATCACAAACAAATATTTAATTTACTAAAACAGAACAAAACATATACAGGATAAACAATTGTAGCCTACAAAACAGAAAACACAGAGTTACTGGCGAAGTGTTACGAGGGAGAAGGAAAGGGAGTCAAATCACTTTAGGGCGAGTGAAGTAATCTAAGTGCTATATTTGGAAATCCACAAAGGTGTGTAAATAAATATTAATTTTTAGTTTGGTCAATGAAAATTAGTCAAAATTCTATTTACCAACTTTGTTCCATGAAATTCTCTTTTGGGTTTTGGTTGGTCGGCAACTTTTTATAGAGATTCTTTCGGCTGGATATAATAGTCCTTGAATCAAAAGCCGGAGTTGATACTGACAGCATTGACAACCCTTTTCCAAAATGGGGCTAACACCTAATTTGCATATTTCTAGATTTTTCTCGAATATACTAGAATGATCTAGAATCTTCCAAACATTCTATTTCTAATTTCTCTATTTTACAACTACTTCATGACTGAAAACTTTTTGTAATAACAAGTAGAACTCAAAGGAATCCCTTATTATAGAAATGCATCCTCGTAACAATAGATAGTATCAACAAAGTTATGTTTTAAGTTCCAGTAATAATAAAATAACAAAATTAAGGAAATTGGAATGCTAATTTTTTTGTTTTTTATTATCTATAATTACGGGGTAGTACATTGATTCACAAAAAACAAAAAACGTTACGTCACGTATGACCATCTGTATGATAACGCGAATCTCACGTGAGCTGTCGATATGTGATGACAGGTATCACTTGTCACTCGAGAAATGACAACACAGTTCAGATCGCTTACTTTTTATTTCGAACAATTTTTTTATTCGAAAAAAAGTAAGTAAAAACTTCTTTCAAAATATTTTAACTAATCTTTAAATTTGCTAATTTTAGTCAAATAAATTTTGAAAAACGTAGAATTGATTTTTTGGTATAATTATACCAAAAATAAACGAGGATTTTAACTTGTTTACAAAATTAGAAAAAAAATGGCTGATAGCTACTAATTTTGATGACAGAAATAAACAACATTTTAAATAAAATTTCGGACCTGATAAGAATGAGTAAAAAATTTTAAAAATAATCAAAAAATACTTTGGTGTTTCTTCTTAAGAATGATATATATATTTAAGCCGATAAAAATTTATTACATCGTTTTTTTTCATGCTATATGTTTTTTTGTAGCAATTTCGTGGAGGTACCTAACCTAGTGGCAGCATTATATTTCATTCTTGAACACAATATTCAGCTATGGCTTGAAAATTGCGTTCAAACATGAAACAAACTGTTGCCTCTCGGTGGTGTCCTCAGTGTCAACTTTTATATCTATATACTCTCTATGCTTGATATTGAGCACTTTTACCCATAAATATAGCATACCGTAAGACTTTATTTTTATCATATATATATATATATATATATATATATATATATATACCGGGTGTATACCGGGTGTTACATCAAAAATTATAGAAATTGTGTAAAAGCAAAATTGTTTATTTGTTTGATTAAACCGCTGTATCTTAGAAATGATTAAAGATATCTTACTGAAATTCTCTGAGGTTTTTATAACACTATTCTACTCTACTTTGAGCAATAAGAGTGTATAATTACTCTGCAACTTTAACAGAAGAATCATGATGAAATCGATCATAAACGAAGATGACATGTTCATCATTAATTAATCATAGTCAAGGATCGGAATCTCATGGAGTATTAAAATAAACTTCAAACATATATATATATTATTCCAGGATCATTTTTCAACTTATTCAAGATGATCTTCGCCCACTCTAACCTTCTAACTTTCTGTCTTGGTGTAATAAGTTACCTCACAGTTTTCATTTTCAAGTTTTTTTTTTCACTGCTCATTGGACTGTCATCTCACGTGCCAAAAGTCTTATGGATTGAGTTGGATATTTGAATTGAAATGATGATCCCTCTTCCTGTTGTGACCTCCTAATCCAGTTTTCCTCTTTAATGTTCTCTCTTTGTTTAAAACTTGTTCACCGTTCTCTTGATGGTTTTTGAAAGGACATTGAAAATGGAAGCATGAGTATTAATGTTTGTACTATTACTGAATGCATGGCTGGTCTTTTTCCTCTCACCATTGCTCATTTGGGAATACAGTGAAGCTGACACAAAAAACGATTTTAAACCTGTTCTATTTCTAGCTGAATAACTCAAAGTGATTATTCTGATAAATGGTGTCGAGATGGTTAAACCTGAAAACCTGGAAAAAAAGAAATTCAATTAGTTTAGTGTTTTTTAGACATTAAGCATTTTGTGGGGTTGACAGTTATCGCATACTGTTACACGAGTTGGACACCCGCTATATATTATTGACCATTAGAAAAAAAACTTTCAGTAAGTATAATGTTTCTAAAAAAGATCCGACAATGCATTTCGCCAATTAGGCTTCATCAGATCGAATGCAAAAAAATGAGTTGCGTGTGTATGTATTTGTGTATGTTTAAAATAATGAAATCTTATAAATTTTTTTCGCAAGCTGGCCTTGCTCGGGACTAAAAAAGAATAAGAAAATTAGTGATTTTTTTAAAAAAAAAAAGTCGTTTGACATTTTATGTTCTTTCTTTAAGAGTCCGAGTTTAGAGATAGAATCCATCAGAATGGCTAATTTCATTATTTTAAAAACAACGTTGTTGCTGACTCACTCAAGATATAAGAGAATTTTTTATAAGCAATCTCTAATTGACGAGGTGGGAAAATGGAAGAGAAATTTATCTGATGTCAACGTTTAATGATGGCAACGTCAAATGACACATAGGAAATAAAATATGTTTGTTTGTTTTTTTTTGGGGGGGGTCTTATTTTATTAAACTACGGATTCTTGACATTCCAAATGTAAGAGTTGTCGGCAAATTTTGTCACCTGCCATTTTGTCCCTTGATAAGAGAACAATAAAAGCGAGAAACATCGACATATATAAGAATCTCACTCTTTCATTCAATCATTCTCTTTTATTCTCTTTTTCTCAATCCCTCTTGACAGCCAAAATACAATACAAAAAAATCGACTACTCACCATCTTTCTCCTCGTCTGTATTTATTTATCTATCTTTCTATCTCAATATATATATATATATATAATTTAAATAAAATAACTTCGTTAATTTACATATGTTTAATACGGCCCGTCAAAAATGTGTAAATTTCTTTTCATTTTTGTTTCAACCTTTGGAAGTAAAGTCTGATGATCCGCAGTCCTTTTAAAAGGGCTTTGGTGAAATAATTTATTACATGGAACCTTAAAGTGGTCTGTTTTTATTTAAATTATTTGCTCTGGATTTACATTGAGCTCTCTGGATTTTATCCTCCTTAGGTTTACCCATACGGATTACGTAGTTTTTCATAAACTATATATATCGACCTCGAGATCGAAAGTTTCATTAACGAAAACGCGTCTCCCGACAGGAATAGACACCAAACAAAAAGGCTTTACAAGTTCGATTCCTGCATATTTTTTCTTAATATGTCTTTCTCTAGGCCAGTAGATATAAAAAAAAAATTCACTGTTTTAAAAACTACGGGATCCTCTCTCCGATGTGTCACAAGGCCGAAAGCACGCAGTGAGGATCGAATTCGCAACTCGGTTGTGACTGTTCTAGCAAAACAACCTTGCTAACCCTAACCCACCACGCCGAAGTGCCCTTCTGTCTGCCTATGTTCGTTATTTTGCCTAGAAATCGATACTTTATCATGTATCACTGGGTGATACCATATTAAAAACTTGTACTGTATGATTTTGAATACATATCCACAAAACGCTATACAGTTGCTATTCTATTGCTCAAATAGGTTCTAACTAATCCATGAAGGTACCGCGTATTATGTAAATTACAGGTTACCCAACAAGTAGCAGGAAATTTTAAATTTACTATATGATGAAAAAAAAACTTAGCTAACATATAAAAAATTAACTATATATTTTACTATATGAATGAACTAAAAAAAAAAATTAACGAACATATAAATCCTTTAACTTTTGTTCTTCCCGGACGCCGCAGTTATCAAATTTTCAACACGAGGTGATTGTCCTCTTTAAGAAAGAACATCCGAATTGGGGAGAGAAAAAATGCCAAGATATTTTGTCAGAGTTCTTTAGTTTGATCACCAAATCTAACATCTGTGTTTTTGTTCTGTTTTACGTTACTAAATTTTTATCCTTTATTTTGGTTTCAAATAACTGTAACAAAAATTCCAACAATTGTACTAAATTTCCTTATTTTGTGTGGGGTACTCTGTAGTTCGGTATGCAAATTAGCTCTTTAAATATCAAAAATCAGTACCACATGTGTGACAAAACAAATAAGCGCTTCCTGCTCTCGATTTCTTTTTTTAAGATTTCGTTTTCCACAAATGAATTTCTCCTGGTCAGAGGCTTTTGTTGTCATTGCAAGGACTTTTTTTTAAGAACAAATGGCAGGTCATTGACCAGAAGATAATACAAGATACTTATAACCCTTAATCTGCCCGACTTTCATTCTGTATTATACGATAAATTTCCGAATTGTATACAAGGAAATCACGTATTTCTTTTTCTTTTTCTTTTATTATTCAAAAACCTTTCAAGTCATTCATTTGATTTATTCCATTATTTAAATGGCTCGCTTCCATTTAGAATCTAAACAGCACCCACTGCGTGAATTTAGCTCCAGGGATGGGGAAATAGTAGATATTGGTTAAGACAACCATACATCCTGAGCACGGAATAAGTAGACGAGAGAAGAGCGTTTGTAAGGAAATCAAGTATATTTTATTACATTGACTTTCAGGCGATACGAAACGTGTCTACGTTTGAAGAAGGTAAACCAGAGTAAAGGTTATACTGACCCTGATAATGAGTGTAGAAACATTTTAAAATTATTACTGTCTGGGTGGTAATTATGGGGGAGTGGTTTGAAAAGGTTATAAGCTCGATGTCATTTGTTTCTGTTTTCTGTTTTTTTTTTGTGGGGGGGGGGTTCTCGACATCTTTCTCTGATTGGGCTGCCAATCGATCACGATATAAAAATGAGAATTGGAATATCATAGTACTTAAGAACTATCTAATTAAGACTGAATCTATCTATCTATCTATCTATCTATTTATTTATCTATCTATCTATCTGTCTGTCTGTCTGTCTTCGGCTTTGTATGGAGAAATCAGAGGGCCGACTTCAAAATCCAGTCGGGTTCCTTAAATTTCACTTACGCGCAAATATCCTTGGGAACGGTATGAATTCATCTCCCTAAATAGTAAGGTTAAGTAGTAAAGTTTGTATCTGGAAAAATCGTTGTTATTCTCAAACACTTATTGCAAAAATCATTCGCAAGAAAATGATTATTCTTATAATGCAAAATATGTTTCGACTTTAAATAACCAACAAAGGGTTGATAATCCCTAAAAAACGAACCAATCAATAATCTATCTATCTATCTATCTATCTATCTATCTATCTATCTATCTATCTATCTATCTATCACAGTATGTTCATTATCTATCCTTTCTACTTCGCCAGTAAGTACCACTACATTAAGATGAGCAAATTTTCCATCTCAGATCGTACACACAAAATGGGTGATAATTTTGTTATTGCATTGTGTAAAATAATCAAAACTTATTTCTGACGATCCGAAAATTTCTAAATAAAACAAAGATATGCAACAGTAAAATCAATGTATTTTTAAAAAGGAAAAATTATCCACACTATCGATTTAGAAAATGTTTTTCAGTTTCTTAATATTTTTGAGGCTCTTCGTTCTCACCCCATCCCTTATATTTCTCTCACTTACTCTCATTTTGTTATCTTTCTCTCTCACACTCTTTCTCTTTTTGTTACCTTTCGCTCCTCCAATTTCTCACTTTCTCTATCTCTCCCTACACTCCCTCTTTATGCTATATATCTCTCTTCACACGCTCTCTATGCGTTATCTGTATCTCCCCCTCTTCTTTTGTTAACTTTCTCTCCATACTCTCTTTGTATCATCTTTCTCACCTCAATCTCTGTTTTACTGCTATTTTTCTCTCTACACATGTTGTGCTATCTTTCCCTCCCACTTCTCCTATTCTCTCTCTTTATGCTATCTTGCTCCTCTCCTCCCAGTTTTTGCTATCTCTCTCTTTCTCTCTCTATACATATACACTCTCTATTTTGCTTTCCCTCACCACACAGTTTCTCTTTTCTTTTCCCTCCCAACGATTTATCTTTCAGTGCTACCGTTCTCTACCCTCACACACAAACTTTGTGGGATCTTTCACGCCCTTTCTAGCTTTCCGCTTTCTCTTCCAATAAACACACACTATCTATCTATCTATCTATCTATCTATCTATCTATCTATCTATCTATCTATCTATCTATCTCCCTCTCTGTGATATATTGTACTCTCCATACTCACTTTGTGCTAACTTCCCTCTTTATTTATCTTTATCGCTTTTCTATATGTCTATTCTCTCTCGCCCTCTTTCTCCATTCTTTCTTATTATGACGTCACAATTTATGTGTCTTCTCTCTCATTATGTTTCCTCTCTCTTTATGCGGCCTTTTCTTAATTTACTCTTTCTGTCCCCTCTTTTTATTATGCCCGCTCACTTAATGTAACCCTTCTCTCATGTCCTCTTCCTGTCACTTTCGACAACCTTTTTCTCAAAACTCCGTTGTGTGCTCAACACACTGCCCCTCCCGTCTGCCTATAAGTAAGTATTCAAATTGTCACTAGATCGTTGCTAACGTCAATATCAGTAATTTCATGCCCAGTGAAGCGTGCATATCAGATCTTTCAACTGCAAAAGGCACAAGTAAACGGAGTATTCCTGCTGAAGTTAATCAACACCGAAATCTACAAAGAAATATAAAGCAACAAAGAACGAAAACCGATGGGCCTAGGCTTATTCTATTATTCTAATATTTTATTATTCTATTTCAAGAGCCAATCTGATTTCAACACAACTTTACAACCAATAGAAACGGAGCTTTTATTTAAAACGGTCTTTTAATCACCAATCAATCAACCAATCAATCAAATTTCAAACCAGCTTATATAAATATATATATATATATATATATATATATATATATATGTTTTATTAAATAATATTGACATTATGTATTTATTTATATATATATATATATATATATATATATATATATATATATATATATATATATATATATATAAATTCATGAATCATTCATACAAAAAAAAAAAAAAAACAAATATAGAGGTTAATGATTTAAATGGCGAGAATACATCTTCGCAAACAATATCAATAACATACACCAACCCCGAACCTGTATATGAATGATATGATCCCTGTTTATAAATTCCAATTGCATGAGGTCTTTTTAATTTTTTACAAGCTTTCGTCTGTTCCTACAGACATCCTCAGGTATGGAAATAGATTTTGTTCTTTTTTTTACTTCTCGGTAATAAGAGGACAACGAAAATAGAGATGTAATCTGAAAAAAATGTTATGAGAAATGTGTTATTGTTTTTGAACGTGTGATCGCAACGCTGAGTTTGAATTTTTAATTTTAAGGTTGTGCGTTTTTGTACAAAATATAGTAATAATATATATATATATATATATATATATATATATATATATATATATATATATATATATTTACAAGGTATTTCTGGTATTAAAACCTATTTTACACTTTCATAGTGCTTTGATCCCAGTTTGGGGGTTAACTATTTGTCTATAGCTGAGACCCTAACAGGTGCTACCACCCCGAGTCATGGGAACCTGGAACCAATTAAGAGGTGGTTCCACAGTTCTTAAAATCTCCTGATCAGAGGCCTTGCTGTTGGACATAGTTTATTGTCTTACCCAGGACGGGATTCTTTTCCTTTTCTTTTCGTAGATAACTTCGGCCAATCCACAGTTATTCGTTGGAGTTATTCGCCATGAGTTCAATAAGTTTCCATATCTCTGCAATAAAGTAAAATTCGTCTTTACCTACATTCGAACACCTACCAACTAGTTGACCACAAACAAACTGATCTACGATTAAACTGTAAATGTGCTGAACTCTCACGCCATTGCTAGTAGACTTGTTCCTCGTTAGAAGCTTCATAATTATGGCCATTGTTGATTGCGGTCGATACCGTAGTCTAAGAGATTAGGGAGTGGTATGCTAGGTCTGCTATAACATCTCCAAGGTGATGCTGAAATTGGGAATAAGTTGAACGAGAATAGAGTTCAGTTCAAACAACTACAATTACTGAGTTTTAATAAAACTGTTATCTATGTTTGCGTGGATGTAGTAAATGAGAGAGAAATATAAAAAGTTCCCACTAAAGAGCAAATAAGGAACATGAATGATTTCAATGATATAAGGAAACAGGGAAAACATTACAATAGAAATTAAGCCGATTAACTGTAGACGAATATGCAGTTAACAGAAAGAAATAAGGATTTTGAATTCTAAATTATTTTTATTAAAAATCCTTCAAAAGTTTTATCATATTACTGACTTTTTTGACATCGATTGGACAGCTTCCGAGGAACGGAGAATATTCAATTAAGAACGGTATAATAATAATAATAATAGTAATAATAATAATAATAATAATAATAATAGTAATAATAATAATAATAATAATAATAATAATAATTACATTTAATTACATGGATGACTTAAAATTGTATGCTAGGAATGACAATGAGCTGGAAGGTCTTCTGCAAACTGTAAAATGCTTCAGTGAAGACATTGGAATGAAATTCAATTTGGATAAATGTGCTAAAGCTACAGTTTTACGAGGATCGCTACAACAAACTTCCTCTATTAGTTTAGACCCTGCTGTAACAATAAAAGATTTAGAACAAGGAGAAGCTTATAAGTACCTAGGTGTAAATGAGAGTGAAGGAATTCACCATAAGAAAATGAAAAGAAATAGTGCGTAAAGAGTACTATAGAAGGGTACGACTGGTATTAAAAAACTGAATTGAATTCTCAGAACAGAATTATGGCCATTAATAACCTTGCCATCCCAGTGGTCCAATATAGTTTCAACATCTTGAACTGGACTCTAAATGACATCAGACAAATGGATTCTAAAAACAAGAAAAAGTATAAGATGCATCATCCAAAGGCTGATGTAGACCGTCTATACATACCCCGTAAAGAAGGTGGAAGAGGTCTTATTCAGCTAGAATTGTCATACAAGACAACAACTATTGGCTTACTAACTTATATGGAAACAACAAATGACTGGATGATAAAATTAGTGAAACAACATGAAAACAGAAAGAAAAAAATATTCAATAATAAAAAGAAGGCAGTAAATACAAACAACATTTACATTTAGTAGATTCTGTAGTAAATCAAAACAGAAGCCAAGAACCAACTATTGCAGCAAAAGATATGAAAAAAAGAAAGCCAAGGATAAAGCCCTTGAACAGATGAAACAACGCTGGCAAGACAAACCTCTGCATGGCCAATATCCAGAACGTGCAAATAAACCCAATGTTGATAAAGTTAATACTCATCGATGGTTACGAGCATCTGGATTAAAATCTGAAACTGAAGGTTTTATTCTTGCAGCGCAAGACCAGAGTCTTTTTCACTAGGAATTTTCAGGCAAATATCATACATAATAATGTGGATCAAAATGCAGGTTCTGTGACAAATACCAAGAAACAATAGACCATCTAATCTCAGGATGTTCTATACTTGCCCCAAATGAATATAAAAATCGTCACGATAGAGTGGGGCAATACTTACACTGGACAATGTGCAAACACTTTGGAAAATGTAAGCAAACACTGGTATGAACATCGGCCAGCGCCGGTTACAGAAATAGAAGATGTCACCATTCTATGGGATTATACCATCCACACAGACAGAAAAATTGAAGCAAATAGGCCGGACATTATTGTCAAAAAAAACCAGAAAGAAAAAAAACTTGCCTACTAATTGATATGGTTTGTCCAGCGGATTGTAACATAGCAAACCAAGGAATTTGAAAAACTATCAAAATACAAAGACCTGGAAATAGAAATAGAAAAAATGTGGAAATTGAAAACAAGAATAATACCAGTGGTAATAGGTGCACTTGGAATTATAAAAATGGAACAAAACAACACACTGAAAGAATCCCTGAAACCCCAGCTTAAGAGACATACAGAAAATTGTCTTATTAAGTACAGCACACACACTAAGGAGAACTTTGTCTATGTAACGCTAGCAACTTCATCGGAGATAAAAAAAAAAAAAAAAAAAAAAAAAAAAAATTAACATGAAATGTATAACATAAACACACCACGACCTGCCTTAGGTCTTTCCGCAGACTTGGTAGGTAGTGTGTCCATAGCAGAAATAATAATAATAATAATAATAATAATAATAATAATAATAATAGGGAAAATACTCTGGTAGCGTAATGGTTATCTGCTCAGAAAATGGAATCGGCGAGATGAGTTCAAATGATCTGTTCACTTTCACACTAATACCATTGGGAAAGGGATGAATTAATCTCTCATCCCACCCAACTAAGGGTCAAACAGCAGAGTAGACTATGCTCTCTTGGTTTACAGCCAGTCTAGGGGAAGGACTATGAAGTTAAAATCGTGGAGAATTTACCAGGAAACCACACATCTTTTCCAAAATGTCATGACAATTCGCAGATAATAAAAGAAAGACGTCTGGGAAAAGCCATAATTACCTGCGCCCTAAAGAGAAAGCATTTATTATTATTATTATTATTATTATTATTATTATTAATAATAATAATAATAATAATAATAATGTTGTTTTTGTTGTTGTTTATTTACTTTGATTTCTGGTGTGTACACATTTCTTTCCGGGTCCCACCCAGAGACCTAAGGTCAGAAATGGCATCATGACATTTTCCACTGACCAATATAAAAAGAACAACAACGCACATATTTTACATAGATAAAGCCCTTCATAAAGTGTGGGCTGTATTCAGAGACCTAAGGTTAAAAATGACATCATGATATTTTCCGCTGACCACCTAAAAAAAAAAAATTATTATTATTATTATTATTGTTGTTGTTGTTGTTATTATTATTATTATTATTAAACAAAATGATTGACATAAGTTTTCCAATATTTTTCAACATTTAAGAGAAGTCGCGCGATTTAAGATAAGAAGAAAAGAAAAACACTGACAATGTTAAACAATATTTCAATTGACATGTCTTTCTTTTTCAAGTTATATTTTTAAAAAATTAACGTATAAAAATATATAAATCTACAAAAAATGATAAGTTTTGTACAAAAGTTGTTTGTGTTGTAATGAAAAAAATAGCTGTACTGGTAATGAAAATATCAAAATGAATGAAATGCCGCCAGCGTAAAGGCATGAAACTGAAACACGTTTAATATGATGGTTTCTACAACGTCTGTACAAACAAAAACTTATAATTTTTTGTAGGTTTATATATTTTTATACTGCAAATTTTTAAAAAATATATCTTGAAGGCATATATACTGTTGAAATATTAACATTGTAAAACATTGTTTATTTCTTCTCTTTTCTTAAATCGCGTTTTTCTTCAACTACTACTACTACTATTATTATTATTGTTATTATTATTCAGCAGCCTTTTCCACCGTTACTTAGCGCG